AACCAAGTTGTCTACTCAGGACGCACGAAAGACGTCACCTTCATTGAGCGTGTCCAGTGAGCCGCCACGAGAACGGTTGCCGGCCTCAAATCCGAGGGCTACGAAACGCGCCTCGCGATGCTTGATCTCTTTCCCCTGCAGTACCGTCACCTCCGAGGGGACCTAATTCTTACTTATGCCCTGTTTGAACGAAGCTTGGCAAACAGGTTTTTTACCGTTGAACCAGCAAACACCCGGCGGGGACATAGTAAGAAAATTTTCAGTCTCAGTGCACGCACATTCACTTAGACAAGACCATTAGCAAATCGCAACATAAAGTTTGCACACGGGTGTGGCCTCGAATTTTACTTAGAGAAGGTGGTGCCGAGTTGACACATCATCTTCCGAAACACCAGGTGCCACTGTACCGGCTACAATAGAACAAAAACTCAACAAATAGAAAGATGACGCAAACCTTTTTCACCCATACCCCATATTGAACTTGCAGAAATTGTTCCATAGACGGCTACACGACCCTTTATTATTGATAGATATCGCTGGAAATTTGTTTTAACAATCAAAACGTCGAAAAACGATTCAATATGGACGAGGACATTAGGTAGAGCGCGATTTGACTGACCGAAACGTCCCTAGTTAGAACTTGACCTTTGTATCTTAACGACCCTTGTATGCATCCTGATAGTGTCCCACCCCTTGTGCTTCCTACGGGTGGCATGCCAGTTGGACACTGAAAGGGTGCCATAGCTGGACGGTTTTTTCCTTAATAAGATTGAGATAATTACGACCGAATATATTTCCTGAAGATCCACCCAACTCTGTCACCCACGTTGCTGGATGATGAAAGAGAGCTGTGATTACGTTTTTCTTCCGTATTCTGCTCAATAAAACTGCAAGGAGTTATTAGTTGCTAGTTAGCCTTGTGGCCGCATCAACCAATACACTTAGCTCGCCCTTACTTATTACTGCACCTCTTTTTTAGGGCGTTGATACCAATTTCATAATCTAAGTTCGGGAAATTTTTGAGTGAAATAGGAGTAGGCTACCGCGTGAAAGAAATCTATGCCCTGTTCCTAATGGGAAATGGGAAGAGGCGTGCAGGTCAATGAATATGCCAGTGCATGCAACATTTGTGAACCTGCTGTCGTTTACGGGCGTTCGCTTGACGCACTGAAGCTTATGAGCAAACCTATTTCCATATAGTCGCCAGTTAGTTCAGCCTTTTGAACCAGCCGGACGACCGCGTAATAATGCTAATATGTTTATTCACAAATTCATGAGTAGCGCACTGAGCAGTCGTAAGCTGGTCATCTGAGTTCAGGACTGGGTTGAGCTTATCATAAAGCTATTTGAGAATCCCAGATGAATCGACGTGATGATACAATAAGCCACTCTTTGATCATTGATCGTGCCATCCGGATCTCTGCAAACTGACGTTATGTGTATCTGCTGACTCATCATCGTCCTGCACATTTGGACCATGATTGTGTCCCCCTGTGACGACAACAGGCCGAATATGCTGTCGTGTATGGCTCTGTGGCCGAACAACTGGTTTTCGACGATGACGTGACAGAGGTACCAGTACGCAACCGTACAAAAGATTAGGCAACCACTTGTGGCAGGTAGTATCCATTGATTGTTATTATGTCGACCACTCGGTGTTTTATTCCTTTACCTGCGGTGATTCATGGGTGTGATAGAGCATTTATATGGAATACTTTGGGGGGGATGACACAACCCATAAATTTTGTCCGAAAGACCGTGGTAGTTATAACGGTCTCAGTTGACCAGTCCCAAGGCGGCCATGTCCAATTTCGCTGGCAGTTTTTATGCTTTTATGTGTCCCAAAATTTTGTGGCTAAAATTGGCCAGCTTATGAAACGACCCGGATGAAGAGGCTTCGTTTTTCCGGCCCGATCTGGTGAAGAATTATAGGGAAGCGAGTGAACTTGAGGCACTTGCTACCGTTATCATGAGTCAGAGGTCGGAATACGGGTCACACCTCAGCAGGCACTTGATGTTCAACTTGAGTATCTTGGCAAGGCATGCTGGGAAGCATCCAGTTACTCTAAGTGATGAAAGGATCAAATAGGTGGGATCTTTCAATGGGTCCACTGGATGTAAACTAATCGAAATGTCCTTGTCTCTGGACCTCGTTCTAGACGTTGGCAACAAGATTGAGCGATTGAAAACAGTACCGACGGTTAGTTTTTGTTCGATTGACCCGTGGTAGGCTGAGGAGAAGGACTCTACTCATCTGGAATGTTTTTCCCGATTGATGCCCCACACCCAAAAGCAGGTGCTTCACAACTTTGGCAAAGTCTTTAAATTGGCCCACTGCATCGATTCATTCCTATTTCTTGGTGGTGACAGTAAGCTACAATGTAAGCTGCCAAAGAAAATGCTGGTGTTTGCTCTCAAGAAATTTGTTATTTTCATGTAACCACATGGCCTTTGTAACCGGACATTATGGGCAGTTGCTGTTCCGTTGGTTGGTTGACAATGTGATCGTTGTCGTTGGACTGCGTTCCAGTGTTAGTGAATAGCCGAAGGTACTCTGGAGGTCCGTTTGAGAATGGTGACAAAAACTGATTGTTACAATGGCTGGTTACAACCGATACCAGTTGCCTTGCCAGTTCCCTTGCCCCTAACCACTTACGGCTGGTTACAACGTTTGAGGAATGTTGGCAGCTCGGGTTGCATAAAGGTTCACACCTTTGTTCGCTCTACTGGACATTTTGATCACAAATTTTCATCACTGATCGAGGTGATAGCAGCAGTGCGTTGTTGGAGGGCGGAGTGAAACTTTGGCATGGTTGTGCACAGCCATGTAACTTTGTGACACCGTATTACTCAGTGTCGTACAAATTGGTTTGGAAAGTGTAACTTCCTCAAAGCTCGCAATCTACTGTAGTAATAAACCTGTTAGGACAATATATCGATGAAATGCCTGCATCTGATGCAAGAAATTATGAACTTTATACCTGAACAAATTTTTGGTGTTCGATAATTTCTACCGATAAGCCTGTGAGCTAAACTAGGGGACAAGTGACGCAGAAGCAAACGCGGAACTATACTTTTCGTAGGCACCTATTGTGGGTTTCACCACCAACTGAGGAACAGCACACGACTAAGCCTGTGGCTAAACTAGGGGACAAGTGACGCAGAAGCAAACGCGGAACTATACTTTTCGTAGGCACCTATTGTGGGTTTCACCACCAACTGAGGAACAGCACACGACAAAGACGTCTGTTTGTCTCCATATTACAGTGTCCTGGTTAACAGGGGTCAGTGCATGTGTCTTTTGAGTTGCTGAACAAAACGACCAACGACAAGGACGATAGATGCCCTTCCTGCTAGACGTTCTAGAAGACGACAATGCACAGCATATAATATCCAATGTTATTTCTTGTAATTTAAAAATACCACAAAAGACAAGGTTCAAAACGTTTTAATGTTGAAACGCGCTTTGAAGAATAGTAAGACCATTAGCACTCCTGAGGTCGCGCACCCAAGCACTGTGTCAACCAGTTGATTGCGTAAATTTCGTTTGCCTGTGTTCGCCCCATAATGTTCCTGTGCCACTAGAATGCTCACACAATTCCAGGGATATAAGAACGAACAACTGCTTAAGCAGATTTCAACATTTCGTTGTATGTTTGGTCCTCAAGTCCTACTGGTGCATATTATTCATGTGAAACAGGGCATTTGTAATGGCAGAAGAAATCAGTGGTGCATCACTAGTAATAAACAAAGCGAATATCCTCCAGCAAGTGAATTTTCGGATTCCCCGCTTTGCCGTCGACAACCAGCTCCGTGCATCGCTAACTGTGGCGGTAAACCCTTACTTTCTATTACGCCAGGCATCCTCAGTTCATATTACTTTTATGGGCTACCAGAATATGTCTCATCTGCATCTGTTTCTGTGTCGTTTTGGGGCTGCCGATTGCTGCTGAGCACCAACGTCTTTTTCAGACGCAATTCCATTTACGGTAATAAATGAGAACAAAACATACCACTTAATTGTCTGTAAGTAGTTTGAAGCGCCTCGTTTCCACTTTAGTGCCCACGCAAGTCAGGGAACCCGCCAATTGGGAATTCATATGAATTGAACGAATCAAGGCATTGCCAACCACAATCAAATGCCGTGAGCTACACTCCTGTTCCCCATACATTACTTCGCTTAGAAAAATGCACAAATGGAAACCAGTTCCACCAGACCAAAACTGACAATATAGAGCTTTGACCAATTGCATGGGAAAACGCACAGCCGTTGCTGATAATTACGTCGAATCGGTTTCTTTGAAGACAAAAAATCGAGCTCTTTAAAGCCATTTATTGTCTAGGAAACGAAATATGGCCTCTATCAGTATCCATCTGATCAATAAATCCTCTTTGCTTCAAATGAACCTATCGTTTTAGTCTGCTCTGTTCACTCTTTCTATCTCCGTCATTTGAACCGAGCTCGTTGAACCACATTGAGGCTAGAGATAGCTCGGCGGTTAAGGTGCGGAACTGCTTACTGAAAGATCCTTGGCCCTGGTTCTTTGATCTCCTGTGCATTTTCCTGAGAAACCTGGCTTTATCTTGTCCCCCTTGTCACACGGTAGCCATATGTTACAACTTGTTACGAAAGTGTGTTACAGCTGAAAATTTGTAGCTTAAGGCTTCTACACCCCTAATATAGCTTAATATTATTCCCCCCTTATTTTCCAACTCAATAGAGACATTACACACTGCTCATAATGTTGCTGAAAACTATTCGACAGAGCACGACCAGTTTCGCCCACTTTTGGAATCACCAGGTAAGCGCAGTACCCGAATTTGCGTCAATCTTATGTACTTCGCTAATTGCCAACTCAGTCTCATCGGAATTACTTCACAATGACATCCGCCAAGAGCTTATTTGGCATCCGGATAAGCCATTATCTTCATGAAACGAGGAGCCTGTCCCCATTCCAGCCTTGTGCTGAATGAGAGTAATATTCTGCATCCAAGAAATCGACCGCCTGAATCAAACGAATTCGTTACGCATCGATGAGGAACAAAGGTGCTTGGTAGTTGGATTATTCGATCCCCGGTTGGAAGCAAATTAGTCAGCATATTCTAGTACCACCAATATGTTTTGGATGAACTCCAGACTGTGTTGACTTATCCATCAAATAACTGCTGCTTAATTACTCTCGGAGGATATACCAATGTGGAACATCATGATTTACAAAGAACCTGCTTGGTATGGTTGAGTAAAGAAAACTCTAACGGGAAGGCTATTATTGTGGTCTTTTTTCTATAAAATGCCAAATAAAATTTAAACCTCTTGGGTTCCACTGTCAAACTACTGCGCTACAAAGTCCACGAAAATATCTGATAGCGGGCCAAAGCGTGATGCTTACCCGTAGGCCAACAGCAAACAGCAATTATGTCATTTAGGACCGGGGTGATTTCTGTATCAGAGCGGTTACATGACCGCTACTATTGTGTGACATTATAGTTGACAGTCTTGGAGAAGACCACATTTTTTAGCCACAGCTTGAAAACCAGATTGGCACAACCGTGGCAATCGAGTCATATATGCGTACTATAAGTCAACCACAAGCATGTGGTCACTTCACAACGATTAGATTACCGATGACGGTTAAGGTGACCTGAGATTAAGTGACATCTATACATATTTATGAAATCTATGTCAACCCCCAGGGAGTTGCTAACCTATCAAAATATCAGCAAGTGTCTCCTCCGAACAGATATTCTCTGCTAGGAGATCCAACAAGGTCCTCATGCCAAACGAATATGAAGCAAGAGGATCCTCTGGCTATAGGAGCTGTGAACTGGAGAGGGGGACAAGTGAATTGTTAATCCCTTCTTCCTCCGAAAAAATGATCGGTTATCAGGAGAGCAGATGGATGTATGTGGCGTGGGAATTTCTTAAAGTCGTGAAGCTTCGTATCCAGTAAAATCTCTAGATTTATAAAGGATTTACCCTCATGAACCTCGGCAAACATGAAAAGTTTATGCGTCTCAGTGCGTTTTTTTATAAACACCCAACTATCTGAAGGAAACAGCTAAAAACCAATGATGCTGGACGTTTCCGGTTATTCAGATATTTTTTATGACATTTTCCATATTCTCCGTACACACACTGCTCCTCACCATTTCTGGCAATTTTTCAATTATGCTACCTTCTATGCGATACATCACGTAAAATGCAAAATCTTCCATTATGACTTATGCTTCTGGTCTAGTGTTCAGTGGCAGGCTCGGTTTCGCGTTCTTCTACTATGCTAATTCAAACCTTTTTACACAGATTTTCGAAAGCCCTACCAATTCGTGTCAACTACATTCATAATCACTGAGCCATAAATCTCTCATATATAGATATTACTTTCAAGCCACCCAACGCATGCAGCGCTGCGCACTCGAAATCATTCACAGTCTACCAGTCTTCTAGGCGGTGCCTCTGACATATGTGTAAATATTTACAATATCAGGTGGCGTTTCTAGCATCAGGGGACTACTGACAGCACTTCCGCCGGCGATGGAACAACAAGCTCCCTCAGACAGGCCTTTTGTCATATACCATATTGGCGGCAACTTGCCACGTAGTGCAAAGGCAGGTAGTGTAAAACGATGCGTGATCACGGCGTTGAAAACTGTCCAAACATATATGATTGGTGACCTTGTACGGTCCCACAGTTTGCTATAGCTACACGATTTTCGGTGATCAATAAGCTCAATCTAGCTTGAATGCTAGTCTAATTATATTCCTGTCACGGGCTTACTGAAAATGACTTTATAACTGAGAAGGATTTGCAAATTCCACATGGTAATATCATAAGGTGTACAAATAAGTTGCCAGCATTTTATATCATATATGATTGCATAGAGTTGAGTTTGTCTCTGAGTTTGCAAGCGTTTCGTCACCGGGCGAGAAGGCATGTCAGTGCTCCTCGGGTCCATTCACTAAATCATCCAAAGGATGGTCTCAACCTAGGTTATTTTGGAGGCCTGAATTTTTGTGATCCAAAATCTAAGTTAGAGAACAAATGCAGCCCAAATTTGCCACATGAACCATTCATCCTAGCTCATCAGTTTCAGTCATAGAGTCTCGGGTATTTGCATAATTGAACAAGTTTTCGGTAGTACAAAGCACTGTTAAGGTGGAAGCTGTTCAGTTCTAGGTAACAGCTTGCGATACCGCAAAGGGAGTTAAGTTTGGACATGACAGGTTGAAAGTAATCAACTCCGATCCTATATTACCATCTCGAAGTGAAATGCAGGATGCAGACGAAATCTTGAAACCCGGGAAAACTCATTCAGAAGTCTGTATGTAAACCGCAAAAAAATTAGACTGCGTGCCACACAGAAGGAGGAACAATGACAACTTTGTGTGACTCACACGTCTAGTGTCTCACAGTTGACACTTGTCGCAAGACCACAGTAATTGACTTGGTCATTCAATCCATCACGTCCGCTTTCAGAAGGGACCTCGAGACCAACCGAAAATCGCCTGACTCGTTGGTTGTATACACATGACATCCCATGAATAACTATCTGCCAGGCCTTGTTATTGTTTTTTGTGGACACCGGATGCAGAGGTAGCAAACAACTTTTGTGCTTGTCACGTTATCTGAGGTAAAATCGTCGGTCAAAGGGAAGTCCAAGCACCTGGCGCTTACTACACAGCTGCGAGGACGCTGTCTGTCATTCATGTTCATTTCAAAAACTTTCATCGGATTCTCAGCACCACCAAAAAGTTTATCAGGCTGCAATTGTTGGAAGGACTTCTACATGCAGTGATAAGAAAGACCCAGCCTCATATCCTTTCCCGCCATTTAAAAAAAGGAAAATACGAGGGTCAGCCTAATTTTTCTATTGGCCGCAATCTTCTAGTGGTCACCAACCGCACTTTAGTCTCATCGCTGAAATCAGTTAGAATGGAGTACTAATGTCCTGTAGAAAAATGGGGTTAAGTGAAACTTTCGCGCACTAAGGTGGAAGTGAGCTACAGCTCAAATTCGCTGAAAAGTCTTCATCTATTTTGAGACTTATCAATTTAACACATCTCGGAGTTTCCGTTAACCTTATACTCTATTCGAACACCAAATCCTATGCAATTAACGAAGCACACATGCTTGCAAAGTGAACTGGTTGTAACAGAAAACTTGAATTCCAGCTGATGAATATCACAAACGAAGGGCTTTTCCGGAATTAAGCTGAGTCTCCTAACAATCCCATTCTAGTTTACTTAAGAGTATACCTCAACAAAGACGTATTATTCTTCTCATTCATGTGTGCAAAATAATTGAACCAGAATCTAGTCTAAAAGGCGTCTGACAGCTATAAAAGACAAAGATGAGTCTCTTTTGTTTCACCGAGACATGATGAGTCGATCAGGCTTGAATAGCCAGTTAGGTCTTTTAGGGCTGACAAGACCCATACAAATCGCCGAATGCTCAACAGTAACCAAACCACACAATAGTCTGCACAAGCAGTTAGCAGCTATCATCTCCCTAGCCAATGCACTGTCAAATTCGGTCTACCAATTATGAAGTCAAATCCGAATTCTCGAAGCCACACCATCTATCGTCCAGCTTACTCAAAAAAACTTATATGGCACAGAGGATTTATACCACAGAATACTTATTGGCATTTTTTTCATTCAGAATATGAAGAGGGAGTCGAAAAATCCTCACCTCCTCCGAGGGGTATTTGGGAGCAAGGGATTTTTAACCTATCAATCCCTTCAGTCGCGTCCTTTTTTAAGTTTTCAGACGAACTCGCACATCAACATTACACCTTTGCTTTGCGCGTCAAGGATTCTTCTGCATAGCCGTACGTAGCCTTACCCTTGTTGGAGTACTATAAATGTACAACGTCGTACTTGTTCTTGCATCAGCATCTGAAATCGATGAAAGCACACTGACATGAACTCACACAACCAAATAGACCAGCCCCCCTGAGGGCATCTTGACTGTTAAGCGTGACTAAACTTTGACCTGGGTAAACGCTATATTTTGCTGGGCGTATTTTGAGCACAATAGTCACTGTTTAACCGGGCCAAAGATAGTGTGAACATGTCGGCATAGTAGATATTATATGAACATGTGGTTTCAAGATCATTAGATATCTTTGACTGTAAAGTCACGATTTACCACGTAAAAAGTTTGCGATCTCTGGCAACTTGTCAGCAACCTGATTGGATAAAAGGGCTGATATTGCGATTTTCACATGATAATTTATTTATGGGCTGTCAGTCGAACGGAAAGGATTGACTATCACGTTTCATTTCTGTGGTTCACGGCCCGTAGAAGAAGACTACCGTCCAGGGACCCATCTATCTGAGGTTGAAGCTGCGCCCCATAGATAGTGCACACTTCAGTTATGAAAATGCGTTATCACTCAAACGGTCTTCAAGGATTGTGATGCGCACATATGCTAAGTCACGAATCCCGTATGTCGACCGAAGCCAGAAACAACGCCCACCGAGACTTACTACGGTGGTTTCCTTCTTCAGCTCGGGGAAAAGTATGAGATGTAAGCTGACGCGAAATGGCTGAAACTGGCATCGAATAAGCGTTCGGAGAACATCTCGTGAAGAAATAGTGTTCCAAGTCAAGATATGCTTGTCAGAGTTATATCGGGTAGTGAGCTGCTAATCGACGATTATCAGAGCACCCTTTGCTTTTGGCCCATGCGGAAAGATTTGCGAGTAATTCAGTCCTTATGGAGCGGGAGAGAAATTAAAAATCTATCATCAGGAGAAAGCCGGAATGAGCCATTTCTCAGCCCGAAAAGTGGAAAAAATCTATTTGAACTTAGTGAAGAAATTTTTGCCTTGATGAATTCAAGGGAATTTATGGTAAGACCAAGTATTGAGTAGAATGTGTAGATGACTTGGTCAATAATGGTTGCCTACGGGAAAATTCATCACTTTTGATGAAGAGGAAAACAGAGAAGCCTAGAATGAGGTCCTACACATTTTTGGATTCAAATTATGGCTTCGTAGAAAACGGGTTGGCGAAGGTCGCAAGGCCATCTTCGACCTGAAAAGGGTTCGAGAAGCACGATGTGAACAATCGATAACTCTCATAAAGGAAACTACTCACAAGGTTGCTGAAAACTCTTTGACAAAGAGTTTTATCAAAGAGTTTTCAGCAACCTTGTGAGTAGTTTCCTTTATGAGAGTTATCGATTGTTCACATCGTGCTTCTCGAACCCTTTTCAGGTCGAAGATGGCCTTGCGACCTTCGCCAACCCGTTTTCTACGAAGCCATAATTTGAATCCAAAAATGTGTAGGACCTCATTCTAGGCTTCTCTGTTAACTCTGTTTTGGCGTGCGAGGAACCAACCTGAGACATAGGTAATAGAAAATAGATTCAACAAATGGTTCCGTGAATGCGGTCCGAGCTTCTCTGACACCACAAAGTGCTTCCGGTAAGCAGAATAACTTCGTACGATGTTGACGGTAAAGATTCGGAGGCACTGGTGGAAAGGAGATCAGCTGGCTAGCCCCGACTATGACCCTCATTTACAGTGGCTTAAAAAGGGAACAGTGATCCGACACAGTGCTCGAGGCAGATTGAATTGTGTGGTGTGACCAGCCATGTTGCCATCTCGAGGAGAGATTCAGTTCTTTGGAGTTTGAGCGGGACTAGACAGGAGATTACGCATGCAGACATTATAAATAAATTAGATTTCTCAAAGACGGAGGGCTCAATTTCCACGAAAGTGGAAACGAGACAGAATGTCGTGGAAGAATAACTGTTACGTATGAATTCTGCTAGTACTTCACGGATATCATCGGACAGGATTAAATTTGACAGCCCGAATATGGATGTAGGGAGCATTAGACACAGTTCAATTTTAATGTGGAAGCTCTCGAAGTTGGAGCTAGATCTACTTCCAGCAGCCTACATCCGAACGCAACATAACAAGGTGATATTTGCTCACAAGGGTGAAACAAGACAAAGGGTAGTCTCGACGTTCATTCAAAGGTTTAGCACTTAGTGGTTAACACTGCTACTATTTCGCAAACTGGGGTGTGTTTTCAGATTGCTTCTTAGGCCCACGTGGTTCACCACCAATGGTGGAGTGGCTTAAACACCGAATGTATGTGAACGGGAAAAGTGATTCTAATCCACCTATTAGTGGTAGTGGCAGCCGGCTGACTGAACCACTTTGGTGTCGATCGGGTAGGCCTACGTAGGCTTACGTGAACGTAAACTACAAAAACATTAGTTAGAAAATACTGCTCCCATTCGAATCAACGTACTGGTTACTTTGGACACAGAATAGCAAGATCCTTTAGCGGCCCTTGGACACTTACGGCCAGTACACTAGGGATGCTCATGAGCTTCATGCGTGAGGACTGGGGAGAATTCCACAATTCGGAGGCTTGCCTGTAAGTTACCGTCGAACTAGGTTCCATGCAACTGGGCAACACCTGACTGACAGGCTATTCCCGTCCTTCAATACGCAGAGTGCGTTGTTCAAGAGAATATAGCAGTATTTTTATAGATTGCTGGCTGCCAATATCAAAACCATGTTGTGCGTACTTAACAAACACGAACATACCATGGATAGTCGCATATAGAGACCCATATAGAGACCCAAAAACGCTGTCAAGCAGCACCAGCTCTGTTTGACTGTGAAACCTACACCACCGGGCTCAATCAAACTGTGAATCGCTTGGAGTCCAACTCTTAGAGTTCACTTGGTATTGTCGTTCCTCTGACTTTCCTCAAGCGTTAAAGTATGCTATCATGACACCGGAGCTGTCCTGTCGATCATTACCTTCACTCATCCGAAATTCTCCCACATTTATGGAAACTTGTCTTCGATGACATCGATGACAACCGAAATAAGGCTGGTCGAGTCAGACATGTCGCCCTTCAGAATTCATAGCACTAGAGGCGGACAAATGCAGCTCGATGCTCTATGTTATGAACTGTGCAGGGGAAAGAGTGACCTTCCGTCGCCCAGCATAACCGGATACAGATGACGTCTGCTCCAAAACATTGGGCTAGCCGGCCAAGTAACGCGGTGCTGCCGGTGAAGTGAAGTTTTGTGGGATTTCGTCCTGTAAGTGAAGTCAATCTATACTGAAAAGCCACTCGTGGCCGAACGGTTAAGTGTTCAAACTACTAGCCGGGAGGTCGCGGGTTCGAGACTCTTCGGAGTTTCGTGAGATGCGCACTGCTCATGAATCCCAATAAGGATGAAACAGCTGTACAGTGCTTCCCGGCTTTTCAGTATAGATTGACTTCACTTACAGGACGAAATCCCACAAAACTTCACTTCACCGGCAGCACCGCGTTACTTGGCCGGCTAGCCCAATGTTTTGGAGCAGACGTCATCTGTATCCGGTTATGCTGGGCGACGGAAGGTCACTCTTTCCNGGCTTTTCAGTATAGATTGACTTCACTTACAGGACGAAATCCCAACAAAAAATCCAAATCTCCTCACACTACCAACGAAGTGAAGTTTGTTCGAGCCGATTATACGTTGGCCTTTCAATCCGATTTATGGGTAACATGGCTCCAGGCTTGATTAAGCTTACACCAACTTCCATGAACACATTACTCAGTAATTCAAATTGCTGCTACTGTCCAGAGATTGTCCACCACATCTGTGTCGGTCAGGGTTACTTTAGTTCACGAAATTCCGTTACTTCCATTCCTGTTCGATGTTCTCATGAAGTGCTTGCTGACTGATGTATCCGTCAGTTTCAACTTCCTTTACTCCAGTTGAAAACCATGTTAATTGCTTCTCTTTTTCACTATCCAGCGTCTGCTTCCAGACTCAGTTTGACGTCTGCTAACATGGGGAAGACTTTTGATTTGGCTTTGAATGGCAAAATTTCCAGTTCTCCTCTGTCAGCTGGGAGAAATTCAGCTCTAGTTCAATTCAACTCGCAGTCCCATAGGAAAGTTATACCGGCCTTTCCACAGAAGCAGGCTCACGGCTGCATGGAGATAAGATAGGGAGACCTCCATCTTCCAAATGGTATACGTCATGTCTACATGTACTGCGGCGGCTGGGCAACACCGTAAAGGATGACTCTGTTTTCATGACAAGTGGGTTTTGGGCACGGAAAGTCTGCCCTTAAAGATTGAAGCCGCCGAGTTTGTTTTAACAAAGGTCGCTATGATAATAATCGCCAAAAACGAAAACCACTGTGAATTGTGGGGGCGGGAGAGAGTGGGTGATAGCGATAGCAGTTGGACTCTTTGCTTTACTCCTCAGTCGTCAACGCTGAACTGACACCGTGACTTATTTGGGCTTTACGTAATCTACAACCATGGACAATAGCTAGTGAAACTCTAGTGGGATGACTCATGCCTGTTGAAATGCGTCAGGAGATGGAGGGGATCAATACCGGTACATTGCTGACACATTCAATGTATCCGGCCAAACCCATCGCAACACTCCCAGAATGTCTGTCAACCGTATCAAGCAGTTAATTCGAGGCTAGCTACACCGACGGAAATGTCAGCTAGCTACATCCACACAAGTAAACGTAATGGTGATCTCCGCATCCAAAATCCTGAATCAGTGGAGGAACTGTCTACTGGTGATGTCTATGCCGATGTCTACGCAGCGCCGAGTACTACGCAATGTGGTTAATTGATATCACTTTTCAGTGGCCTGTCAAAATCTCTGTCTTTCACTTCGGGTCTACGGTACATGGCCTGCCTGTTTTTAAGTCGGTCAGTTCGCCTATTTCAAATCGGTGGTTCGTGTTTCCCATGGCGAAGCTCCCCGGTTTCTTATCCGTGATGTCCGGTTTCGGTTCAGTTCGGTGAGGACGATGATTAGAAACGTTCTGGATTGTCACGGTGAACAGGCCATTTTTGTTCGTCAACCCGAGAGTTCGGTCGATGTCTCGCAATCCCGCTTGTTGATACAAGGTGCTTACCGCAATCGGGTTTCAAGGAAACTTGGAAAGCTCCTTCGTAGTCCGGCCTACAATATCTCCGACGAGTTGTGAGCGCCCTCTTCGATTCCTTTTATTACCTCCGTCCCAACTACTGTTTGGTGGCACTAAACTACTGTGAAAAATGCGAGCATACTCTTGGTTGCTCACGGAATGTCTGTGGCGGGTGAGAAGAAGCGGGAGTTTGATGCTCATGAATGTTCCCTCGCTTTTATCTCAGACCTACGTCCCACCCATTGTGACTTTAATGTCACTAACTGCTAACCACCCCGTATTGGGTTGATTGGTTTCCTTCGTCAAGACTACCATCGGTGTGGTACATCTTTATATCATCGTCAATAATTTTTGACACTCAGTGATGTGATGTGAGTCTTGACTGTACTGTGAAGGCTATTGAACACTGATCATTCTGTCTGTAGTTTCTGGTCCTCTTCCATGGGACTCCATATCGGACAAAACAGTTGATGACACATTTCCTTCTGGAACGTTCCCCCCTTCTTTCTGCCCTTTTCTTTACTTTATCCCGCGTCTGTTATATGTCGTTTACGCCCTTGAACATTCTGTTGAAATCAGACGGCAAAACTCACACAATAAGACTGTAATGACAAGACTATGCGCCGTTCGACAGGTTTTCTGGCCATACTTGAAGAGATCCTGCAGATCTTACAATGTATTTAGTAAATAATCACGTTGAAGATCATGAAACTAGTTTTTTTATCGAAAATACGGCGTCGTACCTCCAGTGGTTACATTAGCCTTCAAACCGATACTGCGACGGACATACAGCCCTAACGACTGCTGCATTTCTGATTCACTGGCGAAGTTTACAAACACTTAACCCCTTGCTTCATTGTCTGGTACCCTTAGGAAACTGACGACGATAAACAAAAGATTGGTTGGGTGGATGCTGCAAAAACGGCTTGATTGTTCATGTGATACCATGCGAGGTCGTTAAATGAAGACTTTCTGGGTGAGTTGTCACACATCTACAGATCTGTTGGCTTTTGGCGGACAGAGTGTAGCCTTCAATATAACTCTTTGTTATGAAAGCAGAAACCATGTGCAAACTCATTTGACCATTCCTGGTGTACCAACCAACCACTCGTTTTCAAAGCACCTCCAAACTTCTCAACGTGAGATGAGGAGGTTTAGTGTGTTCACTTTACTGTGTGGATCGAGCTACTCTGGCATCTCTCGAAAAGTGTAATTTGCTGTACATTTTATATTCAACAACTCTATCAAAGGTCAGGCTGGGCACATGAACGCTTGTCGAGTTTCTGTGCCAGTGTCCCCGTTTTTTTAAAAAAAAGTCTGGTTCTCACAGCACGGTTGCAGCAATTAATCACGAGAAACTCAACCATAAATACAAAATTATACTCTTCTGGGAAACAGTAATAAGAGAAATGATTTGTGATCAAGTATTCCAAAAAAGTCTGTTCTCACAGCACGGTTGCAGCAATTAATCACGAGAAACTCAACCATAAATACAAAATTATACTCTTCTGGGAAACAGTAATAAGAGAAATGATTTGTGATCAAGTATTCCCAAAAAGGTCCCTGATTTTCCCCCTCTAGGCTATAATTACGTGTTATGCTACGCATTCGCTTATCATGGGCGAACAACTGTTGTGACTGACGCTCAGTGTAGTTAGATTTCATGAGATGAAATGGAGAAGTCTTGCACCAACCGCATTTCTATGACAAACGCATACCGAGAGTTCTAGTCACCATCGCGTTGACTGCGAGAGGTTATCATAGTGTTTCTGAACCAGTGAGCTGTCTGAATGACTTCGGAATATTGCTTGTTGAAGCAAAGGATACTAGAATTTTTTCACTTTCTTTCAACTTATTACAAATCCCACTGAGGGGCTATCCTTCTCATTAATAGGATCGGAAAATTTTCAATCGATAAGAGAGAAATCTCATCGGAAAGCAATCCTAGAAGTATTGATGACTTGCCGAAACTGAAGTGTCGATCAGAATTTCAGAAGACTTTGGGACATCATCAAATTCGATCCAACTGGTGCCTGCGTGAAATGCGTGAAATGCGTGCACAACTGACTCACAATCCGACACAGTTTACTCCAAGTCTGTCCTTTTTTTACATGTTAATATAGTAGGGGAAAAAGTGCAGTCATATTTCACACATAAGGTTGAGCCATTGGTTTTTGGTTAATGTTTTATTTTTCCGATTGGGGATAAAAGATCCCAGTCCGATACTACGGGTTGATTGCACAGAAAGAATTTGGTCTTCGTGGGTTTCTTGCGTGAAAATACTGATGACTTTAATGCGAATCAATAAAACGCTTTTCGGCATTAGTATGCTTCCGTCCAAAAATTTAAACTTACCTATTCATGCCGAGCAGACTTGCCGTCTGACTGGATGGGTTTTCTCCAATGGATGCCTTCAAAGTAGGAGTTAGGCCTTGACAAATACACTTAGTTGCAAATCATTTTGGTTTTGACGGAAGACTCAACTCAATCTCTCATTCATGATATTTTTCAACTGAAGTCAGCTTAGTTCCTCCGAAAGTGTAACTGGGTCCCAGAGGCCTTGAACACGAGTAATCTTTCGTCGTTTCTGGAAATGATCATACTTCTACAATGGCGTTGAATATGAGCAGTTTACTGAATTGGAGCAAGTTTCTTCCACGAAAGCGTCTACTTGCCTCCCAAGTGGAAGCATTCGGCCTTTCACATTTGATTGATGATGATTTCGTTAAAATTTGGTGTCAGACGCCCTGGTGATACACAGCGCCAAGTTACCAGGATATTTTGACTGCAGGTACACTGGCTTTGCCAGTACATGAACACACGGCGTCCACAATTGCAATATGGGATTAACTAAAGATTGGATCCACTAGCGTTATTCGCCGAATAATTAGGGTGGCATTTTAGAAGGCACCTTTGTTATATATCATATTATTTTCGGTTTTAAACCGAGTTCAGATTAGTCGTTCAGTGACTGCCGTTTGTGTTGGACCGCGTATGGGCCGGTAGGTAATATAGAGTAATTAGAGGTGCTGAATGCCTGATGACTCGTTCACCTAACAGCTCATCTACTCAGTTAATCACTCGCGAACTCACTCACTCACTCACACATTCATTCATTTATTCATTCATTCACTCATCTAATGGGTCTGCAAGTTTCCATGCAATGATGATCGGGAGTTAGGTGATTTGCGTTCTTTCACTAGGTTATCATTTTGTTCGTGCTACGTGCACTTGGAGCTTTCCGTTGAACGTGATTAGTTCGAACGGTCAATATATCCGATCAATCGTTTTTGTTACTTTATTTTTATTGATATACTATTCAAAACGCTGTAATAAATGTGCTTTGTCTAGTTTTATCTAGTGGCGGCATTACAAAAAAAAAACATCGTAACCAACGCACTCTGAAGCATGGATCTGTTCGTTCAGCCAGTCATGCTAAACACGCGCATCTGTTATCGTCTTTAGCAACCTGTCCGGCGACCATACACGTCTCAATAAGTTTTGACAGGCTGTCAGTTGAGAAGCTAGCTTGACTGTCATAATTGTGTACTACACACTCGCAATGCCGTCGCCCAATGTTAGAGGCGGTCGCACCCATTCGACCGGAAGCGAACTGTCCAGTACTCGAATTGATGTTTTTCTGTGCATTGGAGATGCCGCTTGCGCTTGTGTGTTTGTATGCAGCAGACAACTACAGAGTGGCCCAAGCACATGTTTAGTGCATTGGTAAGTGAGCTAGTATAACATCTTCCCAGTCTTGGCTCCCGCTCTTCCCGACTCGTGCTTACCGGTNGATCCACCTCCCATAGTCTGTAATTTCGCACGCCCTTCAAGTGTCTTCACACATTTAAACGGCAGACACCGAGGGACATGTGAAGAATGGCAGTTCAGATGGGGACAACAGCTGTCACTTTTCTGCTTCCGCTCCAATTCCCCATCTGGTATAAAATGAAAATGAAGGACAGTTCGGGTGATCGTCAGTTTGAACGAAAAACGGACCACCTCGGAGAACCTAGCGGCTACTATCAATAATATATATATACCATTTCAAAGGTTTTCCACGTCTGAGTGGGGCTCATCATATTCCTGCCAATAATCTAACTTACCGTTATCATCACTATTGTTACCACCACAACAATTTTTTCGTGGTAGCGCGCAATAAACTGGTGAAGACTACCAAATTAATTCAAAATTTATCCGAAATTGTCATCAAAAATCAATTGATTTGCAAATCACACTGATTTTTAGGCATTTCGAATGGGATAATGGGGTATATTTTCCAGTGGGATCTGCCGGTTTTAAGGGGCTAATTGAATACAATTTACCAGCAAGTCTTTCTTGATTGGTATCAACCAGTTCTTGTGATTCGATATGAGATATTTTGAAACGGCTTATTAGCAAAAAAACGACCTACTGGAATTGAGCCTTTTCTTTGCTCGAACGAGTTGAACGGTTCGTTGTCATTGAAACTAGGTTAAGGGAATGACAAATGAGGTGACAACGGAAATTTATTTCTAATCACAGTATGGACGACTGATATACTTGAGTTTAAACCAAGACGTTTGTGTTCTTTACATGGAAATCGCATCAGGCATTATATGTTTTTTTTACTTAGTTACAATTATACTCACAACCCTGCCGTTTTCAGATATAACCAAACTGTGATTTACAATATTTCGGTCCCTTTTCTAAGATGCCTGCCAAAATGAACACTCCTCTTACTTATGGAAAATTTTCTCGAGGTTTCTACAAATAAAAAGTTTCGGAGAAAAAGATCACGGAAAGACTACTTGCCGATTGATCTACAAATATGTTCATCGCCTTCCCATTTCTGTGGTGGCTCGTTCAAGTGGCTGCATCTCTACCACGGCAGCGAAGTAGTGGCGCTCAAACTGATGTTATGTTGTAGATGATGATGATGATGATGGTGATGATGATGATGACGATGATGATGATGATGATGATGATGATGATGATGATGATGATGATGATGATGATGATGATGATGATGATGATGATGATGATGATGATAGGGATGGTGAAGATTACCATAGCATGCAAGCATCTGGAATGATGAATACGCTGTACTACCTCAGGTAACATGACACGACGCATGAGGGTCAATCAGTGGCTCTCGTGAACACACCAGGCCTTGGTTCGTGAATCATTTTTGCGCCTTGACTCACACGTAGCATGTTGCACGTAGCAGTTCTTGTCGAAACTCCTGCCAGTTGTGACTAACCAATCACAGCTGTGTTTTCACCAACCGTTTTACCAGAGTCATATCTACGAGTGAGTGCATGGTCCAAATGTAACAAAAGTTCAGTTTGTTTCAGGGCAAGAGAAGCAGTAACTTTTTCGGTGTTCGCTTTATCATTCAGAATGTCAGCACTTGTGCTGTGACATACATCAGGGGAAATTCATCAAACAGGCCACTGTGGTGTTTTCGATGAACCCAGTTTATTATGCACTCTTGGGCCAAGCTCAGCAACTTCTTCGTTGTAATCAATCATGTCTCGCATGAACATTTTTTGCGAATGTTCAACCTGTGTCTGGTTCATGTGGAATCTCAAGGTTTAGGTGCGCCAAATTTTATGATTGATGGTGACTGAGGGGCTAGTCCACCGAATGACTGTATCGGTGATCGGAGACGAGTAGATAAAAGGTTTTTAGACACAGAAACAGGAAACGCCCACTACGGTGATTAATAGCTATCTTTTTACTAGCAGCCAGAATGACGGCTTTGAAAGGCAAGCATACAGTGTTCTGAATTTTGCGTCTTGTCCCTGTATTGTTCAAAATGCGAAAATTCTGGCGCAATTAATCGTAACCACGGGCAACTTTCGAAGCAACTGATATCCATGTAAAAGAACCAACGAAGATAACTGAAAACTTTTGGACAAAAGGACAAAACTTCGAGGTTGGTCTTCAAAAATTTCCACACAAATATATAGATATGCAGAACCGTGTTGCACGGTGTACCCCAGACATCTAGGCGCCTTCTGTTTTACACACCAGCAACATCAGTTTAACACAGAAAAGCGTGCACACAGAACTAAACACAGCTACATAAAGCACAGCCACTGCAAGCGTGGAACCACAGTCGTCCAAAACGACGAACCTACATGTTAGCGCGCATACACACGGGCAAAACGACAGCTACCTGCGTTTTCGGCTCCATACACGAGAGTTTGCGCACAAATACCTGCCGCTCCACCTGACAAATAAGCGAGCGGGCGACGTAAAAGGGCATGGTGAAAAAGTTGTCAAGGTTTGGCAAAAACGATGACAGAGTAGGCAAACGGGACGCAGCTGGATGTCCACCGCACTGAAACCAGAAATTAAACATCAACAACAGCAGTAACAACATCCGCAACGAAGGTGTGCTGGCGATGGATAAAAACAACTAAACAGCGCACCGCGGAGCGTAATCATTGCTGGTGCGGATATTCGCGCCTGCATGTGGCAGCGAAAAAGTGTTTTTCGTTCATCAACTTCCCTGTTTTGAGCGTCTGTAGATATGTGTGTGTGCGGGTATGATGATGCGCAACGGTGCGCTGTCTGTCGCTTCTAGCTTCATACAGGTGCCGACCTAACTCCTGTCCACCAGGTCCTCAATGTGGTGGGTTGGGATGAGTGGCGTGCGTTTGGCTATGATGGGCAGTCTGTATTAGTAATACGTGGCAGTGGTAGTGATGAAGGTTAAAACAAGCCTCATATGGTGTCCATGTTTTTCTGCTAGATGTGCGTTTGTACTGCTGCGGTAGGCGCAGGCCCAGGCACTGTGGGCTTGAAAAGGCAATGACAGACACGGTGGACAGTCAGTGCGCGCCTGACCAAACACAACAACCACTGCAACAAATTCATTCGAAGCCGGTGGCTGTCCAGACCAAGTGGAGCCGGACCAAGTGGCCAAAAATAAGTATTGGGTGCAAAACTTCGAACGGGACAGGTGTTGCGTTAGCTTGTGATGGCACGTGAGTTTTAACGGGTGAACAGGCAAGTAGGTAGGTCTTTGGGCTGATGTGTAAAGTGCGATAATTTGTGCGCTGAACCGACCGTTTCCAAAATACATGACTGGCACCTGCCCCGTAGAATATAAACAGAAAACGTCTCCTTGTTGAAACCAAGAGCGACAGTGCAATTAATCATGTGCACACGCGAAAACGTGATCGATTGTCTTGTTTCCATATAGGCGGAGAAATGATGATGTTTAGTTTACATGTCATCTGTTTTATCCTAACTAGTGTAATTTCCACATTCTCTTAAAACGCTACTTATCAAGCACAAAACTGGACTCACTTTTGTATCACTCACATATCCTGGTGCAAAAATTCCTCTTGGTTCACATCACACTGGACTCGAATTTCGCCCTGATTTGCACTCATCATCAATGATGACACCTATAAACTAGCCGGAATTCAACCACGGACGTCGGGTCTGTAAGGCGATGGTGTTACCGTTACTCTACTATTACATGCTAGACGCGCCTGAATGATCAGGTCTGAACAGGCGAACATGTTCACTTGCCTTACAATTAATGAATATAGTCTAGAGGCGTTTTCTGACTGGGAAGTCCTGACAAGTGCGTCCAATGACCAGCACAACTGGGTCGTCGAAGCCTTCTGCAAACTAATATCGTTGTTCACGCGTAAACACTTTTGCCTGTTCAGACGTTAGAATTCAGATGTGTCGAATGGTGAAATGATGGCACCACGCGCGTCTAGCCCGTCAGATTTTCAAATCGCGCATAACTATGGAGCTTCCGTGTGGGCTAGCTAGAGTAATTGAGTCTGAAAGGAAGGGCGATGAAAATATATTTTACAGATATCGCAGCTACTAGAGTGAAACGGAACGAGGTTTTGTAGCGCGAAATACAGTCACACTTGCGCATTTTTAACATTGTAAGACACACTTGCGATGAATGGGTTCTTTTATAATTTTACGGAAACCAACAAAACACTGATGATCAGGCCTTGTCTTCCCATAAGTTTCGTGGTAAGTCAGGCTTTGAATCTTTTGCCTTGTCATGTATTATGTAAACAGCAACTATGTATGAGCAGCATTTGGTGACGTCCGCTGGTATTCTTACAGAATCCACAATTAATGGCAGCAAACTTTCTTCTGGTACCGAAACCACATTAGTGGTATTCTGGACTCAACTCAACTTGTACTTTAACCTGATGAACTCATGACATGGAAGTACACTGGGCAGTTGAAAAGACGACATTACGAGCAGAATGGTACTTGGCCCGTAATACGCCTTGCTTTGCCCCTAAGAATTACGCATTCACAGCAGTCTTTATTCATTGAAGGAAATAACGCATGAAACATGATAGAAGCCATTAGCAAACCAACAGTTGAGAGTCTCTTCCTATCCGTAGCTTTAAAGAACGACTGCCGGGTGCAAGTGATTCATATATTTGGCTAAGACTTGTGATTCCGATAATGGAATTAGTAAGTCGGAGTCGTTGAACGCATTACGCTTTCAATGTCTTTTGTATGTCTTTTGTATCGGTTCATCTGCAGTTGTGGCGAAATCCACATTCACATATGAGAGGTTAGACTTTGAAGATGTCTGTTAACAGGCGGCCTGCTATCAAAGGCGGTTGATTGATCGGTGAGTCAAGGACCGACAAGCCCAAGCCCAAAGTGCCGCCTCATCAGTCGCAAACCTAGTCCAAGCCAGTGACACCCGGGTTAACCTCAGAACATCCTGCTGATTTGCACCTCGAAATGACGATTGGGCGACACTGATTCAACCTTGTGACTTTGGCATTGCTTCGTCCTAGAAGTAGGAGAATTGGTTTAGCTAGGAAAACCATTCAATTTTCTCATCCACCGTTTCACTATTTGCACAATGTTGTTTTAAAAAACTTATTAGTAGTTGTACGAGTTGGAGAATTTGTATCTACGCACTGTCCAAACAGTCCTCCTGGTGTCGTCACGGATACTTTGGTTAGTCCCTCCCTAGCCTGATCAGACTTGAACCCCGGACACCCGACATCTGAGATGTGCTTTTTATCACCATCTCACTATAGCACGCTAAATGTCACTGAATTTTAGTGCATGACTGTTCAGATGTGAGGGTCAATGTCCATTCAGCGCTTATTGATTAGGTGACAGCAACGCGGTTGCTTCTCCTACCACACGTTCGGATTTCAGATCTGGTTGAGGCCCAGGGTATGCACTACTGATTGGTTTAAGATTAATGCAGAGTTATTTTGATCTGGTTCATAATCTCGCCAAGACAGGAAGAGGCACACTAGACATAGGGTTGCCAAAATTTTTTCGACAACCCACAGCCGGTTTTGCCTCACCTATGACTCAACAAATAGGCTCAGTCCCCTACTTTCTACCAAACTTATGCTTTGCTTGAACACCAAATTGTAAGCGGCAAATTAAGTAGCTGTTATCGGGAGGCCCAACTGAATTTCAGCCTAATCTCTCCCTTATGATGTTACCTGGGGATTCAGTTGGACTAGAGCCGTTATAGTCCTTTGAATTCTTCTATGAGAGATGGGGCAAGATGGCTCAAGTGGTTATTGCGCAGATTTACTAACCGGAAGGTCCGTGGTTCGAACCCGACCTCTAACTCTCGACTTCCCTTGTTTGGGCTTGGGAAACCTGGCAGTATCTCAGCCCTCATGCTTCCTTCGGGTGGCATGGCAGCTAGGCACTGGAAGGGTGTTACAGCTGAACGAACGTAACGTATTCTTCTATGAAAGCCTGTTCGCCTGGGCTTTTCCAATATGTTACTCAACCTACTTCACGCTTTGTTCTTTTGGTGTGCAATTCCAGTGTAATGAGTCCACAGTTTTCCGGTTTCTTATGATGAAATCTAACTAGAGCACCGCCTGAATTTTGGGGAATCTAATTGATGAACTTTCACTTAGCATGCTTACCGCTCCTAAACCCAGATTTCCACACCGAACTACCAAACTTAAGCAGAAGCTTGGAACTCTCTTGGCTATTATTTTCCCCAGTAGATTAAGGAGTCTAGTTAGTTTTTCACGAAAAAGACAGTCACATGCTGGCGGCATAAAAGCAGCAAGAGAGCATAAAAGCAGGTCAGGATGTAACAAATCTGCGGTTCCAAAGTTGTTCCGAATTCTAGCATCTTGACCGTCAGTTAATGGGTGAAGCATTGGAAAACAGCAAATCGGTAGACCGGCAAACCGGCATGCTTTTTCGTCTATAAAGGCTGCATGTGTCTGTCTGCGAGTGTGTTGAACACGGGCGAATGAGTAAGAAAGAAAATGCGGTAATGATGAGATTCCTCCATGTTGTATGCCTGCGCCCGTTTGACACAAACTAGAAGCAGATGGACGCTTTAAAGTGGCCAGGACGCCAAGTTATTCAATTTCAGACAGATGGTGGGATCCGTCGTAGGATTATCGGTGGCTTTACCAGTAGCTGTCCGCCTACAACGAGCAATGTGTGTTATTCGGTTTGAAACGAGGTCATCAATTCTCACGGTTTCGGGATACAACGAAATTGAAACGTTTTCATTTTAAAAATAATAACAAAACCAGTTGGACGGGACCGAAAAGTAATGATATCGACCTCAATTTAAGGTCTGCTGGAAATCGTTACACGCGGACAAATTTGGCGGTTCTTACACCCTAGCTGACGTCAAGCTTTTATTCCGGATAAGAATGTTGTTCTGTGGTTTAGTAATGATTTTAGCTACTGTAACAGTTTGTAGCACGAAAAATGGTTTGCTTGTAGCAAATACAAAACTTTGCGCCGAATTTTCAGTTTATCAAAGACAATGAACTCTGGTGGCTAGCGGTCACGTCCTAGTGCTAAAATTGATTCAGCTCTCAAACAAGCAAACCAGCAAGCAGTATGTTAGTGACGTCCTCTGTAGGACACATCCATTACGAATGACTACTAGATAAAGAAGGTGAAATCAGTTCAACAGATTAAGCCTCACAGTTAACTGCTGACCAGTAATTCGATGGTGGTCCTCATTTAATCGATTCAGTACTAAGTACGAAGGATAATTTAGTGCTTTCATGCCAGACATTAATGCGATTATACTAGTACAAGTCTTTCGTCATTTTGTGGAGATGGAATGTAAGTGAAAATCTGGCAGGTATTCACCAAAACCATCGGTGTGATCTGCACTGTGAACATATTTGATATTTCTATAAGATCAGTTATTCGTGTAATATGAGGCAGCTGGATGAAAAACGTACGCATTAGCCTAACAGTCGCCTGCCTACATTAAGTTAGAGTTTAGAGTGTCCCTGGAACACCCAAGAAGAGTTTAGCGATTGCTCTCGGAGGAATGTTCAGTGCCACTCAGTTAGACTTCCTCTTCAGCAGTTATCGATTGCTTAAAACAAATACTGCAGGAATCTGATGACTCGTGGTGATTCATTGTTTGTTCTTTTAAGAGTCTGAAAACCTGCTTGTTTTGAAAAGCTGGGCGCATTTTCACATAAGGAATGAACATTTGGAACCCCACAGGGGTAACTCGTGCACAGGGTGCATGCGCCTACTGTGACCGGTACAAGAGTCAGATCCATGCGACTCACACGTTGATCGTCAACAAACTGTTTATGCCCTGACCGACCAATAACAATTCCCAATAGGCCCTTGCAGAATAACTTGGCTCTCTTTTCATGAACCCTGGCCTATTGGACTGCACTTATGCATTTCATTCGTCACTGCGTTTGCTTTTCACCAGACCCAACCCATCAACTTGCCGTGATGGGCTTTAATGGTCTTCGACGAAGAGTTTTCAGCAAACTTATGAGTGATGTGCTACGTCTACCGAAAATTCTTTGACAGCCCACTGCAGGTCTTGTCTTCCTTGGGACCCACCAGAAGGGCTTAGTTTGGTGTTCTACTTGAACATCAAATTACATTTAATAAAATCTACCTCGATAATTTTCGTTTGACCGTATACAGGGATGAGGATTTTTGCTAGTTTGTCGAGGAAAACCATGGTAATAACACTAACTGGGTGATGATCAACAGGAAAGTGTGGAAGGTGAGGTCACCAGTGCAGTAACAGACGAATACCAGTTCAATATACAGGTGAATTGAAGAAAAGTTTTATATTCTACTTTTAATTCATTTTATCCTAGTAGACCTTCGGCTTATGAATACGTTTCCCATAAAGGTGTCAACTGCAAGTGGGCCTGCCAAATATCTTGCTCCCTTGGAAGACCAGTTATGGTTTGGCAATCAGAGTGAAGTGCGTCGTCCATAATATACATGTGGTGACTGCTCATCTAATCTCGCTTTATAAAATTCGCATGTTTACCCAAATACTAAGCTGTAAGATAAATTTAAGGGAGCAGCCGAGCACGTTTCCCACATACCCTGTATAAGGACCACCTACGGAGATGCATGACAGCTGAATCAGTAATAGTTCGACTAAATAACGTCTCTACTCTGCACCCTTAATATAGTCACGCTCGATGATGGCCACCACAACCAAAAAGTTTGTCCCTTAATTTGCTGAGCCCGTTTCTGTATAGCTATAACTGCATTGTGGTATTCATCCTAAAAATGGTAACTGCAACGTTGTTTGGGCCTGAACCAATTATGACAGGTGTCCTAACGACTGAAAGCAGGTTGCTGTGTACCAGGTGAATCCGGTCAGTTTAGCTCAGCCAAAACATGCACTGCAGAGTGTGTAGAAATGGCAGTATGATCCATCTCATTTGTGTACAAATACAACCCTAAACAAACTACTGTTGATTGGTACTGCAGGGTTACAAAAATGAGGGAAAGTGGTTGTGCAAGCAGGGAAACTAGCCGTGGCCTGGAAAGTCTGTAATGGCTTAAGTGCTTTGCTTTGCTTGAAGGAGCGCACTTAACTTGTATCCAAGGTCCTAAGGTGGCCCTATGGTGGTCTCAGTCAGGTTGTTGACTATTTCAGTGGAAAAATTCTCTTGGGAATGGAGATCTTCCTAAATATGCGTATAGTCTTTATATGAATGCGGGTAAATGCTTAGGTAAATACATGAATGTGTGGGATTTTCGAACAACTGGACTCTAGGTGGAAAGGAGTTGAGTCCGGTAGTCAGTGAAGAGAAGACTAGACAATGCTTAGTTAACAACCGTACCCAGCTCATCATCTCACTTGTCTTGGATATTGATGTCTTAATTGGTACCCCGCGTTTTGTTACTGTTCGGCGCCAAAGCATATAAATCTCTCGGACAATGTATTAATTCGAAACCGAGATAGCAATAACATGAGATGGAAGTAAGACTACTTTGTACAATAATCACCGATAATCTCCGGAATCACATGTCACTGTCTGCCTGCCTGCTTTAAGCCTTAGTTGAGACGGATGTTAAAATATGTTACAATTATGCGAGAGACTTGTAAAAAAACTGGCCAGAATCACAATATAAGGGAACAGAACAACAGTGCAGGCCCGCTTGGTGAACTATGCTCAGATTTCTATCATAGTGATCATGTAATCTTCAGATGCGAACTCAGCCACAAGCAGGTTCACATACTTTAAATCCAGCCAAACTTCGCATTTGTGGAAATATGTCAATCAAGTTTCCGAAAATGGATTGAATGAAATAAAAGGAGAGTTTCCAAAACTGCCTGGTGCAAAAAGGTTGTTATTCCATCAACTGTTGAAAGTGCCGCCTTAAACACTGTGTTAATGCATAGAGGAAGTAGACCTAGTAGGGATTTTTTTCACTGAATCCCGTCTGCGGTTCTAGCGAAACATCTCAGATTTACGTATTACTTAAGATAATTAAAAGCAGTATCTGTCTCCGGTAAACTTGCATTGTCTATAAGCAATGCGAGCCCGCAATCGTCTTTACGAGGAATAAACCAGAAAAACGAAATTTTGTACCCTTACAAAGGCTATTGTGTTCCTGATCCGACCGAACCACTTCGATACTTTCAGAACCTTCGTAGAGAAGAAGTACTTGTTATGGTGCTGAGGTTCAATGCATATCAGCTGGCAAACACTATAAATTTCTGGTATCAGTAATACACTGAACAGGGTGAATTATTAATGGTGTACAACAAGCCTTCTAACTTTTCCGTCTTAAGTAGATCAGGGATGCTGACTTTCTAGCTGCAACAAATTTCTGGCAGCCTACTGGAAATTCCTTAACTCTAAACCGGCATCTGGTACTAAAAAGCTTGTAATTCCTAATGCATGTAGACCAATCGAAACACGCTGTTTTACAATATATTTTTGGAAAATAAGCTAATGATCAGACGGTAAGCAATTGTGGATAAGCTGGTACGTTGACTAAAGCCGATTGAGCAAGTATAGATAGTGAAGCTAATTGGCCATAATATGCCTTCAGATCACTGGTTTGAAAGAGCTCCCACTTATTCAGCATGATTATTCTAGTTAGTCCAGGTCACTGGGGTGAACGATAAACTTTAAGTTTTACGTAATACACTACTCATAAGTTTGTATAGAACTTGATATTTCCCGATCGGTTTCACCCTTCTTTGGGCCCTTTAAGTGGGAGCACTCCCCTAGACTTCGTCAACCTTATGTCCAATTTGAACGCAAATTGGACAGATTTCAACAAATCCACTCGTTCGCATATTAATTTTATCTTGGTGGGAGATTCACCTGGAACCTTATGAGTAGTATGTTGCGTCTATACAATGTGTTGTGATTTTTTCGAATATCATGCCAAATGAAACATGATGCGGCCTGGTGCAGTAAGCTCAGTTGCTTAAGAAAATCGTAAACGAGAGATTCATTTGAGTTTCAGGTGAGTATTCCGTCATAAACAAATTGATATCTGTCGAAACTTGAATTTTGGTTTCACCATAATCTCACGTACAGTTCACACCCCATATCACACCGGGTTGGATCGTGCTAGGACAGAAGCAGGACTCTTCATTTGATACCTGAAAATCGCACAAATACCTTGAGTCGAACTGTGTATAGCTCAGAAAACGGTTAATCCACAACACTGGTTAGATTCCGCCAGTTGGTCCGCACGAATTACGAACCACTTCATTGTTCCTTTCAGGTTACCCACAGAATATTCTCTCGGAAGGGCTACAATCCGAACTTCAAGGTTTGAACAGGATAGAAAGGCAAGTTGCTTGTTGCTCATTTGACATATAGGGCTAATAGATCCATACAGTCTACTTGAAGAAGTTTAATTTACCTAACGGGATTGGTTTTCGCTGGTAAAGTAGCTGCAAAACTTGTCAGGCTTCGAAGTCTCAATCCTGGCATAATCTTGGGTATACATCACTGACGGGTTTCCTCAGCGGAATAACTTGATTTTGGTGCTTGTACTTAAGGTGAACCCACCGACGGATACAGGTCAAGACAGGAAGTCTAGTGCGTGAACTGGAGGGCTATGGATATCATTTCAGCATATCTTACACCTGAACAACTAACGGTGAATTTACTACCATGGATCTTTCACCCTGATGCATCAGTACGCAATAATCATGAGTGGGTTTGTTCTAAAGAGTATGCGAATCGCCGGTTCTGTAGTCTTCTTTTTCGACAAAGTGATCCAGTGGGGCGTCATTGTAAACTTACTCTAACTATAACAGCCACTATTTATCACGTAGACCAAACTTGGAAGAATTTACAAGAATATATGATGTTGCAAACCGATTGGCGAACTTACAGTTACAACGGTTGAAAGGTTGGAGTGAATAGGAGTTAAAATCTCAAATGATGATGTATCATAATATGGCCTTGTGGTATGGTCATTACCAATCGCATAAATCGTCATTTCTCAGCACGTGAACTTCCTCTAAAGAGATTACCCTTCGCAATTGTACATCTTCCCCGTTGTCTCATGCTTCATACTGGGTGGTTCGTTGCGAATTTTGGCAATAAACCAAAGCAACATTACTTGTGCAACTGCTAGCTTTTGACCTCCGCCCAACACCTTTACATTCCTGCTTCTGTTGGCTGAAAATTCCATTTGACCCGCTGATGTGATATAGGGGGAGAGTGTATGAGGGTGAAGAATGTCTTACATTGAGATTTTGTGACGAATAGAATCGTTTATGCAACCCTAATATGAGACAAATCTAAGTTCGCAAGGCGACCAGTACTCATCCAAATGAACCCTGAATGAACTCTCACTAGGAGACTATTATTAAATTATTCGGCAACTATCTGAAATTTTGATGCTAAATAAAACATGAGCACACTGACGAAAAACATTCAACATAACTGTTTAGGAAGTGCGAACAAAGCCAGTCAATAGGCCTCACCCACGCAAACTAATCGAATCGTTCGCCTGTCCACAGAAAGTTTGCGATATTTTCCGGTCTTGGATATTCCTATCTATTGTTCCCAGTTTACTTTTATACCAAACAGTTATTCAACTTGACACAGCCTTTCAAACTCAACGTGCTGTTTTAGTCTGACAGCCCTTTGGATTCAATAAATGGCTGCAGTAAAACCAATGCAGGTGTATGAGAACCTACGTGACCAACGCTGTGACATCGTTTATTCTTACCAGTTGTGCTCAATAAGGGATAGATTTACTGAATAACGAAAGTGCTGTTTGCCAGTGGCATAACTTTTTCCTGTATGAATCCGAACGTCTCTGTAGAAGTCTATCCCAACCTCCCTAATAGAATCACTTCCTGGATCCGCTCACTAAACCTTGGGTTTCTCCTTCTGTTTTTCCTCGTAAGCGTTAAATTTTACATGGCTATATTTGTCCTCGCAGATCGCAAACGGTTGACGGACGCCATTACCATTCAGTTGGCGAATACTTCGTCGTGGGCCTCCTATCCATTACGTCGTACCGAATATCATTGAAGCCGTATTTGATTACCTTAGGTAACCAGTTCGATTGGGCTCGGGTATCATGTATGCCGTTTGCTGTCTCTTATATTGGTGTTAGGGTTCCGGTAAGACAAAATTCCATCGTTACGATGCCATTGACAGGCAAATATAACAACACTTTGAGAGCAACGATGAACATTGTTTCAAAATGTACTGCGTGAAAATACCACTATGATTGTTGGCAAATAACAGAAGTGGCAAGAAGTGATGTTAAGTTTGTGGGCTACCAGGATCTTTTCGTCTGCATTACATGTGAGTTCAGTTGCTTTTTTAATATGTTGTAAGATGATTCGTTTTGTTTGTATCCCCACAGACCAACTGCCACTTTGAAGAGGTTGAATTCAAGACGGAGGGACAAGATCTACCTGAGTACCATGAAATAATGTGGTTTATCGCATTGACTGTCTTGGCTGCCTTGGTTAGGACGCTGGATGAACCGGACGAAAGCTATATGAGGGAAACATCTTGAAAAACATTATGCATAATCAGATTCACCCTCCCTGGTCGCGACACAGAATTCAAGGACACAGCTTCCTCTGAGGAAATGAAGTCTTGGAACGTGAAAACACATAGAAAGCAAGACAGTCTTTAGAGGCTCGATACTCCACTACATGCGCATTCAATTGATGTTCAGGTATTCAGGTACTGAAAAAAAAACGAATGAATATTAGGTATTCGGTATCAGTCCCGATGCCACCAGCCAGAATTTCAGTTTTACATGAGTACTAATACACGTGCATTCAACAGTCACCAAGTAAACATGGTGAAACGTAAAAGGTCTGTGTTCTGTGTTTACTGAACGAGCTTGTTTTCGGACGTCTTTTCTGAGACGGATCTTGGAAAATTACTGGCGATATCCACTTCAAAATGTTGCCGCTCTGTAGCTCGTCACATAAAGATTTAGCATCACTCACTGACAGAGCGATCCCTTTTGGTACATACGGTTTGCACTTGAATACGTCTAGGTGGTTTGTATGTAATGAACAAGTCGGTACTATTGAAGGTGATGAAAAAGAGCGTCAGGTTTCGTTGGTTTACTTTTTTTAGATAATATGACCAAAGAGTAACCCTCCCTACTACATAGGTCAATAAACAATCGTCCTCTCTTTGGAGAAGCAATCGACTTGACTACCATTATCCCACAAAGCCTGGCAAAGACTTATTAGCGAGTTAATATCACTCAGTCCCCATAGCGTAAAAGGTGCATAAACGTATTACTTGACGTCAACATCACGGCAAACGAGAGGACCCTAAAGCTGGACCCCACTTTAGGTCCTGTTTTAGCAAGAGTGTAAGGGTTGTTTTTTGCCTCGTCTCTCCACTCATACTGTTGAATCAAATGCGCATGTATTTTCCGTCACAACACAATTAGTACGCTCCACTGGCTCATTCATTTACGTTGGTAATCCGCCGAGGCCCGAGAGACATCACCTACAGTAGAACATTCACCAGATGAAATCAGGCAGACCACAACATCTATCGTCGATAAAGCATGAAATCATAGACGATCGCTCTTTTCATTTAGGAATACCAATATGGTTGTCTAATTTGACCACATATCATTGGCAATCCCAATATCGACAGGCTAGAAAAATGCGTCACGAATAGTCGGTGAAACATTACCTGGAGTATGCGTTTATAACTTTCCGTCCAGAGACTGTGTATCGGCCTGCCTACAGCTACATTCATTTATCCGAAATTCTGCTATCTTTTCCTCCCAGAATCATGGTTTCAGGTGCAGTAATTGCTACGAGTTAAGCGTATTTTATTGTGGTTTACTAGTCAGATGAAATGCCCCCCATGCATTCAATTTCCCAGGTGATGTTTTCTTGGATAATGAATAAAAATCTGCATGCATATGCGTGTAATTTGTCCCCAGAAGGTTGCAAACCTACTACGTACAGAACGGGAGCTGTCATGTTCCATAGGTGGTTGTGTGAATTAGAAAACTGTATGAAAGACTTCGTCCTAATTTGTTCTACCCTGATCACTCACATTTCACAGAAAGTTTACTGCGACATTTTCAACCTACCCTTTTCCTCACACATGAAGTCCGATTAGTTTTGTCTGCCAAGTGGCCCCCCTCCCGTTCACATACAAATCGTATTCGTCATAACTAATAAAACTAGTCTGGTAAAACGAAACAAACGGCCGTTCCAGAGCGGAGCGTATTTTTGCCCGTCATCGTGGAATAACAAATTAAATAAGCTGTCAATTTGCACGGCGGCTCCGTGTCTCACACGTATGCTCGCTTGTTTGTTGGTGCGTAATGCCCAATTGCAGCTACAATATGCTTTCCACACACCTCTCCTGCTGTGGCGCGTTCACGTACGGGGTGTGTACAAATGCAAATGTATCACTCACAGGGTGGTTCACGCGTAGCTTGCCACTTACATAGCATCAACAGCAGTTTCTCTGTCAAGACCAAGGTGCTAATGTGTAATTTGCTTTTAACGCTCTCTCTCTCTCTCTTCTTGGGTATGTTTTCCAAGCCGTGCTGGTTGTTGGGGCTGCCGTACACGTTCGCGCACGCGCGTGTGCTCTCTTTCACGCGTCCGTATTCTAATACATGTACGCCTCGTTTGTCGAACACAGAAAGGTGCAAAGTCCGTTAGTGACAGCTGATTTGACTTCGCTGGTGACAGCCCATCCATCAACGGGGTAAAAGAAGATGAGAAGGCGGAGGTGGAGGGGGGGGGCAGACGAAAAGAATGTTACATTTGGTGGTCTTTCTAATGTCTCCGGGGAGCACGGAAATGGTACGACACGGAGGGCTTGGCCATGCCGCCCACGTTGTCATGATAAAACTAAAACAGTTGTGCTCGTAAGATGAAATGTCAAATCACTTTTGTTAAATGATTTATCGGTCTAACCACAAATGACGGATTGAGGCGTGCTTAACTGGGTGGTTTTGCATTCGACCCTCACACACATACGTTTGCCCACTTTTTGGACAACCATCTTGGTGTTATTACGAATACTTTTTTGTTGAACAGAACCGGTCCATTTCATCATCCGTTTTCCTTTTATATCACTCAGTAAGATGAATTTTCCGCACTCCAGTTCGTATGTACCTTTTGGCCGCTTTTTCATAAGCATACACTGTTGGAATCTCCAAGGCTATACTTGGAGAAAAGAAATCAAACCAGGCCTCGAAGGTACTGTTTGATTGATGTGGCGAGACAGCGATTTCTCACTTGTCCGACTATGCTACGAATCGGACAGACCACACACCACCTTTTGTTCAAACACTTTCGGAGTTTATTCGTATCTGTTGATAATGTGGGGCCGATTTGTTTCGCTTGCCACAACTGCTGACACTGCCACGACTACCAGAAGCTTCCCTCAGTGCTGTCAAGCATCAATTTGCTAGTGATAAATACTCGCGATTGTATGGGAACAGATAAGTATTTGCGTATACGAGCTAGCCAGCGCATACGACTGGGCAGACTAAAGGGTCATGGGTTTTCCCTTGTAACTGAACAAGGACAATAAGCGCTGGTAAAATTCTTCATGCAGTAGTGATAGAAGGAACTGAATGATTTTACATGATATTTTTGAATGGTTGATAAGTTTGGTGTATATATATATATGTATATATATATATAATAAAGTAGTAGAGCAGCAGTGCTAGTAGTACAGTAGACAGTCAGGTCTATGGATGAACCCGCCGATTCCTGTCTTGGTGACAGAATGCTAAGCTCTTCTCTTCACGAAAAGAGCCTACGATAAATTATCGCGAGATGGTACACGCAATAACACAAGTTAACTGACGCTCTTCTGGGTCTTGTTAGTGAGGCATCCAACAAGGAACCGTGTAACTGAAATCTTGTGTACAGAATGTGTGAACATGGGACCTATTGCAAGTATTTCAGGTTTTGATGTGAGACATTACGGAAAACTCAACTGAATCGCACTGATTCTCTTAATAATAGTGCTCAGCTAAAGAACAACGTCATAGATGACAGATTCTGCCAGATTCTGCCGAGTCGCTCGTGGAAATCAAATTAGCGTACAAATGAGTGTCTTTTGTGAATTGCTTTAAATTTGGGTTTAATTAGATCATAAATTTGCAAACTTGTGGACTCCACCTATCTGACTGGGCAAAAGAAGGACGAGACAGTTTCCAGCAGCCTTATGTGTAACGAGTTTCATCTGGAAATCAGTTTACTTCCCTTTGAAAAGTGTAAAGGCTATTTGACACGCTTCTGAGCAGCCTGCTGAAGGCAAAATCTTCTAACGAACAGTCACTGGGGTATTTCTTTTAGACAGGCCAATTGGAGCTGTAACTGGACCTTACGCTTCTTCAGATTTCGCCAGTTAGATGATGACATACTATTAACAGATATCTTGTCACATTTTGGAAATACGAAGATGAAAAGCCATAAAAAGCGTTTCTGTTACACCTTCATAATTAATGTAAACTAGCAGTGTTGACATATACAGCATAAAAGAAAGTGGTTCCACCCAGTAAGTTCCACAAAATCAAGCGCACCGTTAGGACAACCACAGTTTCCAGTGTGGAAAACAAAAAATCTGGTAAACGGAAAATTTGGTAACATTTATTTAATCCGCCTCAGAACGGACCAAATTTTTCGAAAACCGATGGACGCTAGCTCTTAACGAGGCAACCGTTTGGTGCTTGGTTGTAGAGCCCCAGGACGACGGATGTCGATTTTGGCCATTTCAGTTTACATTCAG